AGGTGCGGACAACATGGGGCATCCTTTTGCATATGACATTATTATACTTTTTATTTAAGACGTTCAGTGATGATAATGATCTTCACAGATGGAATAGTCGAGTAAGTGAATCTAGTTTATGTCAGTTGCTTGAAAATTAAACTCTAAAGATGAAATTTTTTACTTTTAACAAACACCTAGACTATAACAGGTTCTTCTTGACAATCTTAAGAAATTAAATCCTTAAAACTGAGCTATTCCACTAAGGCAATTGGTTGCAGAGGAAACTCGAAAGCCCTGGCTTTATGAATAGATTGTATTCAAACCATGACATTGCTCGAACACTTGGCAATTCGGTGTTTGCTCCACTGCTTTTGTCAGGCCGAAGACTTTGTGATGAGATGAACCCTTCAGTTAAACCTGATAAAAGTGATTATAATGTTAAGTTGTCCCTCTAAAGTAATTGGTTAAACGCCTCGACTTTATGGATTCAGTTAGCCAGACAATGGAAAATTAAATCAAATTTATCTGAGCAAGAAATTTTCGGTAATGTTGGACTAAGGGAGTTAAGGAACACCTGTTATAGTCGAATTCACACGAGCACTCAAGAATTTCATTTTTAGACCGATATTTCTGCACTACCTTTGTTAGAGGTGCTTACAAAACTTGAACAAATGGAAGATTCCAGAGGACCGAAATAAAAGGTCTAGTAATTGATCATGCTAGTCGCGTCATTTTGTCCACACCCAATTAAAATGCCAAAGCATGTTGTGGTATTTAAAATGACATTTTGGGTTACCAAAACCTTATAAAGGAGGCCAACCTAAAGCCAACTCATCCATTTGAACATTTGTCAAAGATTTGTAACTCTGAAAGCATTAAAAGAGCTCTTGATTCCTTTGATATTTTTTGAACTCACATTTACAATTTGATTCAATTGCGAACAATATTTTACAACATTTTTATCATGTCTTTCTCCTAAAACAAGAAAAAGGAGAAAAACATTTTCAAGCAGAACAGTCTCAGATATGAAAGGTCTGTAAAGCCAAAGCTCGGGAAGCAAATGGGGCACGATCCATTCCAAGGACCTGATTGACAGACAAAGCACGAGACTCCATCCAGAAGATAACACATAATTCATTCATATTGCATGCATCTTAAACATACTTAGGTGCATCACATTCATCATTTTAGCATACACGTTTTTGCAGCTTTTAGAGTCAAGTTTTGACTTCAGGATGAAGGATACTCGATTCTCAAGCGCCTTCAAAGAAGGATGGTGGTTGATTAACTCGGCAGTAAGAAGCTACACCTCAACCGACTTGACATCTTAGAACCAATTTCAGATAGGTTCGAGAACCAGTTCAAAACAAATCCAGTTCGACATAAACTCAACCATGAGCAGTATGTTTCCAGTTAACACTTTCAAGCCAGATTTCAATTCCACGACGAAAGATATCCGTCTCACAAAATTTGGCGAAAGGGGTCATTATTCATTTAAAGGAAATTTACAGCACAACTTAAGTCAAGAAAAGTTATCTGTCAATAAATAACTTTCCAATTTCATTCAGAGTCTATTTCAACTTCGCAGTGAAGAAAATTGGACTCCAGACAACGCAAGTTCAACTTCACGATGAAGGGACCGCTGGCTGTTAATAAACAATTTTCCAATACTAGAGCCAATTTCAACTTCACAGCGAAGGATAGTGGACTCCAGACAACACAAGTTCAACTTCACGACGAAGGGACCGCTGGTTGTCAATAAACAACTTCCCAATTTCAGAGTCAATTTCAACTTCACATCGAAGGATATTGGACTCCAGACAACGCATGTTCAACTTCACGACGAAGGGACCGCTGATTGTCAACAAACAAATTCTCAACTTCAGAGCCAATTTCAACTTCACAGCGAAGGATATTGGACTCCAGACAACTCATGTTCAACTTCACGACGAAGGGACCTCTGGTTGTCAACAAATAACTTCTCAATTTTAGAGCCAATTTCAACTTCACAACGAAGGATATTGGACTCCAAACAACGCAAGTTCAACTTCACGACAAAGGGACCGCTGGTTGTCAATAAACAACTTCCCAATTTCAGAGCCAATTTCAACTTCACAGCGAAGGATATTGGACTCCAGACAACGCATGTTCAACTTCACGACGAAGGGACCGCTGGTTGTCAACAAACAACTTCTAATTTCAGAGCCAATTTCAACTTCACGACAGAGTATATTGGACTCCAGACAACGCAAGTTCAACTTCACGACGAAGGGACCGCTGGTTGTTAATAAACAATTTTCTAATACTAGAGCCGCTGGTTGTCAACAAACAACTTCTCAACTTCAGAGCCAATTTCAACTTCACAACGAAGGATATTGGACTCCAGACAACGCATGTTCAACTTCACGACGAAGGGACCGCTGGTTGTCAACAAACAACTTCTCAATTTTAGAGCCAATTTCAACTTCACAACGAAGGATATTGGACTCCAGACAACGCAAGTTCAACTTCACGACGAAGGGACCACTGGTTGTCAATAAACAACTTCCCAATTTCAGAGCCAATTTCAACTTCACAGCGAAGGATATTGGACTCCAGACAACGCATGTTCAACTTCATGACGAAGGGACCGCTGGTTGTCAACAAACAACTTCTCAATTTCAGAGCCAACTTCAACTTCACGACAGAGTATATTGGACTCGGAACAGTACAACTTACTTGGATTTCAACTTCACAACGAAGGATATCCAATTCCAAGGCTCAACTTCACGACGAAGGGGCCATATACGATTCCAACTTCACAAACAGATTGACCCGACTTCACGACGAAGGAGTCATCTGTAACACCACAACACCAAAGTCTTCAGGTCAAGTTTCACCTTCACGACGAGGTATCTTGAGCCAGAAGACAATTCAGAGGCCACTTGCCAAGAGCTTTGAGTTCGATCTCAACTTCACGACGAAGGATATCATGCTCATAAGCTTCCAGATCAACTCGACCTCACGACGAGGGAGTCATTTTAAACCAGTCTCAACATCGAATTTTAACTCTACGACAGAGGATATTCGAAATGGACGAAATTTGTGTCTTTTAATCTTTGCTCTATTATCGTTACACGATAATGAGCAAAGATGGGCAGCTGACACATAATTTTGTCTCTGCAATTAATATATAATTAATATATATAATATTATATTAGTATTAATGTTATTTACTTTTATTGTTTACATATTATAGGCCCAAGAAGGTGCCCCACAACTTAAACCAGGCCAAAGAAGGAATAAATGGCCCGAAGCAGCATTGGACCCATGAACCAAGAGTTTCCAGAACCCCTAGATCCCCCCAGCGTCGCGCGGCAGTTCCAACAGACCGAGTTTCACGCCTCCCCCATTCTTCTCGGTAACAAGCATCGTGAGATAATAGGACTCCAACCCCGAACCGTCCGACGAGCGTGGAGAGAGTCACCAACAAACACGAATGAACCAAATGTTAGTATTTCATTAGGATGTAAACTCCTAAAAAAATAGGATTCACATAATCCTATAAATACCCATGTATCAAGACACGAAAAAAAAGAAAAGGGAAAGCAAATACACGATTACTGGGGGATACAAAGGAGGAATACCGAGCAAAAACGGTGGTGAGATTCGAACCCATCGAAAAAAAACAAATCGAAAAGCAAGAGGGGAGCAGTATAGAAGCCAGCAAAGACCAAAAGCCCAATCTCTGAAATAAATACTCTGCTCGAACCAAACCGAAGAGGGAGTTCTCGGAGTCATTGCCTCGTTTTCCCCTGGTCCTCAACCTAAACGTCATCGTTCTAGATCCACAATGGTTTCTGCTTTCAGCGGCAATGAAGCGATGCTTTTTTTTGGTTTCCTCGGCGCCGCTGCTGCTTTCGTCTTCCTCTGTATGAGAGTTGCATACAGGACAACTAAGAGTGGTGTGGGAATGGCGTCAATAGGTATGAGAGACAAGTTGAATGATGGCAGACTTACCAGGTACCATATCAACCCGATCAGACGTGATTCAAGCCAGATCTTCATGGTGTGGTCAAGAAGGCTGTCGGACTTAGCGGGTAGGCACCAGGAGGTCGACCACAAGAGCCTCTTGCAAAGCGATGATCTTTACCAGTATGTGCTGGAGACCAGTGTATACCCGATGGAGCCTGAACCCATGAAAGAGTTCAGGAGAGTTGACTGCTAAGCATTCAGGGAGCCTTATGTCTTACTCCTCTCCCGATTGCACTATAACAAAGTGGGCCATTATTGTTTTTTTTTGTGTTGTGTGCATTTAAAGGATTGTACACATCTTACATATTTTATTATTGATTTCGTACAGTGTGCATTTCATATAATATTAACATTTTTCGTGCGTACATTTCATATTATATATATAATATTATAGTTATTTTACAGGTTAGTTGTTTGTATTGTGCATTTCATATTCCCTTCTTCCGTGCATTATGCCTTTCATAATATATATATATATATATATATATATATATTTATATATCATTTTTTATTTTTTTTTGCATGGTAGTGTATATGATTTCCATCAATAATACATGTGATTTATCGTTATTATTTCTAGGGTAGATGTAGTATTATATATTTATGATATTTTTTATAATACTTTTAATTTTTTAGGGATATTTTCAATCGATCAAAGGTAACTATTCGAATCGGGTCTGTTAAATTTTAATTTTAATTTTGAATTTTCGTAACTAAGACAACAGGCAAATTAATTGGTACCGAAAGGGCGGTTCAAGGGTGCTAATCCTTCCTTGACCGTAATCGACTCCCGAACCCGACACATTTCCGGTATAACGCAGATCAGGTAAGATGGTGTCCGACCTACCTAAATTTATTTTAAAATGGTCGATGACGATTCTAACCCGTTTAATCCAAATTGAAGCTCAATTTTAAATCCACCCGAAAAACGGTTGCGACAGTAGACATATTGAAGGGTTAAATAAATTAAGGAATATTATCCTTGAATTGTAGTGTGACTTGGGTTACATACACATAAAGCAGCGGAATAGCAGCACCATGTCTGTTGGAGTAAACTCTAGTCATTTTCTTCCACGCCACCAACCCATTTCTCCAACTTTTGTCTCCTCTTCTTCTTCATCCATTATTGTTTACAATAAGATCCCAGACAGAGTCGGTCAGCGTCTTCAGCTTCTCTCACTATTCCGATCTGGTCAGTTCTTAGATCCCTTGATTCCTATCAATTTTCCTTCTTTTTATTGTTTGCTAGAGCTTGGTTGATGCTTTTTAATTTCCTTTATTCAGCTTTAAGTTTATAGTAGCACCCAAAATTCTGAGCTTTTTTATGGGTTCCATCTTGGGTTTTAGCATATTACTTTTTTGTTTCATTTTCTTGTTTGATTTAGTGTGGGTTTTTTCTATTTATTCCATGAATTATACCTGAAGCTGCAGATTTGATGACATTTTAAGAAATAAAAACAATTTTATTGTGGGTATGTTGGAAATCCGTGATTTTTTCTGAAAGTCACGAGCATGAAGTACTTTTAATAGTTTTTAGCTTATTTGATTTTGGGATTATCAAGTCGTCATTTAACTTAACAAAAAATGCCTTATAATATACGATTTTAACCAATTTTTTTTGGATTTGTCAAAATGACCAACTAAATCGTGATGCGATCGATAATTCGCAACGCGATCTCCGGTATCGCAAATCAGTTTCCAGATTCGCAACGCGAACTTCGACTATCGCATTGCGATTTACATATTCGCATTGCGATAGTCCAAGTTCGCATTGCGATAGTCGACTATCGCATTGCGATTTACAAATTCGCAATACCGTCGTTGCGATTTATTCCAAGTTCGTTGCGATAGTCCAAAATCGCAATGACGGTATTGCATTTGTTTCTTAAGAATTTTCTCTAAAAAGATAGTATTCGCGCGGACGTGTCGAAGACACGTATTACCACGACCCGACCCGAGACGGACGGCGGCGGCGCGCGAGAGTCCCCCTTGTTCTCTATCACTCAACAAGGAAGTGAGAAAGCCAAGCCTTAAATACCATTCCCAATAGTGTTTCCAGTACTATGTGGGATTGAGCATTACCAACACTTGTTCATAATACTATGTAGGATTGAGCCTTAAATAGTGATATTATTTTTGAATGTTTTGCTTAAAATTGCAATAATCGCGATTGATTGTAGATTGACTTTTAATTATGACATATTTAATCGTATAATACTAATGCAATTGGTTGCTGATTCAGTTGTTTTAAGGTGCATGATTGTTAATTGTTTCCTGAATAATCACATTGTATTGGAAACAAGTGTTGGTAATGCTCAATCCCACATAGTATTGGAAACACTATTGGGAATGGTATTTAAGGCTTAGCTTTCCCACTTCCTTGTTGAGTGATAGAGAACAAGGGGGACTCTCGCGCGCCGCCGCCGTCCGTCTCGTCTCGTCTCGGGTCGTGGTCGTGGTGCAACGAATTTGGAATAAATCGCAACGCGTACTTCGACTATCGCAATGCGAATATGTAAATCGCAATGCGATAGTCGATTATCGCAATGCGAACTTGGACCATCGCATTGCGATTTACATATTCGCATTGCGATAGTCGAAGTTCGCATTGCGATAGTCCAAGTTCGCATTACGATAGTCAACTATCGCATTGCGATTTACATATTCACATTGCGATAGTCCAAGTTCGCATTGCGATAGTCCAAGTTCGCAATGCGATAGTCGAAGTTCGCGTTGCGAATCTGGAAACTGATTTGCGATACCGGAGATCGCGTTACGAATTATCGATCGCATTGCGATTTAGTTGGTCATTTTGGCAAATCCAAAAAACAATTGGTTAAAATCGTATATTATAAGGTATTTTTTGTCACTGAGGTTATTTTCTCTTTAACTTATTAGAAGATGGGATCTCTAGTTTTTAACTATTTTGGCTCTCTGTTTAGCTGTCTTTTTATGATATTCATAATAATAGTAAAATTTTAGAAGTTGGAAGTTCTTGTTGACGAAGTATATACAAACATAGATATAAGGTGGCAATAGGACGCCTCAAAGAGATTTGACGTTGTGTTTTCAAAGTTGGTTATTTGTAAGACATTAATTAAGATTCAATCATTCGACTGGGAGCCCCTAATATAGTGGTATTGGTGGTCACCAATCCATTGTTAACTCTTGTTTTCATGGTGCATTACATGGGTTTTCGCTGTACACCGTACATCATTGTCGAGCTGCTTCTGCTTTAAACTTGCCTGATTTTTTGCTTATTGTTCCTGAATGTATCTATTTGTTGACATGATTATACATTGACTATATGCAGTTTTGAAATCCTTCATATTAGTTCTTCTTGTCTTGATAACATGGGTGTTTGCCTTAAGCCATACATCACTGTTGTGTTAGTTTTGCTTTTTGCTCATGTTTTCTCTGTTGTACCTGAATGATTTGATCTGCTGACATAATTGTTCTGTTGATGAACACAGTTCTGAAATCCTTGTTCCGATTGAACTTTTTAAAGCATTCGAATTTCTTTTATGCTCTTTGCTCGCCATATATTCAAGTTATAACTTATCTTAATGGTTGCAGATATGGATCCCAGTGCTGGCCCAAGCTTGTTCCCTTTGCACCGCTGCAAAACTATTCACTTGGTATTAAATTTATTTTTCCTTTTTATTTGCTCTGTCCAATGCAGATTTGAAGCTGCTATATATTTGGTTTTAAGGATATTCGAGATTCCCTTCTTTCTTGGCTTTTGCTCGCAAAACAAGGCATTGTGGTCTTATAAAACAATACATCCAGGTGAGGCATGCTCAGGGGATCCACAATGTAGATGGGGATAAGAACTATAAAGCATACATGTCACCAGAATATTTTGATGCACAAATTACTCCTCTCGGTTGGAAACAGGTAAGTAGCAGTCATTGTGTTATCATACATGACTTTGGGCACGTTTTGAATATATTTTTATTCAAGTCATGACCTTATTGATAATCCAAAGCATACTCATGAGAAGAATTTTATACGAAGCCTTGTAATTTTGCAGGTGGATAATTTGCGCAAACATGTCCATGAAAGTGGCCTTACTAAGAGGATTGATTTAGTGATTGCATCCCCTTTGCTAAGGTAATGGTGCCAGTATTTCATACTCTTTTCAAGAATCTTTCCTTGATTAATTCTTCTTATGCCGTCTTTTGAATTTAGTAATCCAATGGGCATGAAGTTGAACCTATATGAATCGTGCAGGTTTCTTATTTGCTAAATTCTTCAATCTATATTAGCTAAAGAGCGGGAAGCCTAGGAATCTAATCTAGATACCGAACTTTCTCTTCTTTGAGCCAAAGTTTTTTTCACTTTGCACAATTTTTTATGTTATGAGCATTATATCATGTTGCCTAACGACTTTATAACTTTTTTATCAACCCATTTATAATTGGTAGTTGATACCCAATAGTTTCACAGAACATTTCCTTATAAGATAATTGCTTCTTCTACCTAATCATCTTTAACTGTTTGAAGGCAACTTTCATTAAGTGAAACAGAGTGCGAAAGGAGTAATGCTAATGACATCATTGAGTTTCATTTTAAGATCTAGAACTAATCTGTGTGATTGGGGCACAAAACTTGGTTCCTTATTCTGTTATAAATCTTTTCAACCGAGGACATTCTTAGAGTTATTACTATCAGTACTTGTGACTAATTTATTCATTTAATCTTAAGTCATTTGATCTTCAATGAAGCTGTTTCCTTTTGTTCTGGAAAAGATGTTAGTCTGCTATAAATTGTTTCAACCAAAGTTATTTTTCAGAATTTGAATTGGTGATGCTTAGTTTGGTAAAGCTCCATATTAATTTAGTGAAGATATTTTATGCGTAGAATCATAGTTTGGCATTTTTTTAAGTTTAAATTTGGTTTATAAAACACATGATTAAATAATCAGGCATGCATTAATTGACTATGGCCATGGTATGTTATAGGACATTGCAAACAGCTGTTGGGGTTTTTGGTGGTGAAGGTTATACAGATAGGATGGATGTTGTGCCACTTATGGTGGAAAATGCAGGAAATAGTGGGCGTGCTGCAATTTCAAGTCTAAACTGCCCGCCAATCATTGCAGTAGAACTTTGTCGAGAACATTTGGTTAGTCTCATTTCACATTTTTGCAGTAATGGTTCCCTCTTAATGTATTGTTTTTGGATACCATATTTGGTTAATGGAAATAGTGGGAGGGGTGTTATAAATTGTATGATACTACTAATATATGAAAAAGCATAGAAAAATTTAGCTTACCTATGTTGTATAGACACAGACATACCCTATATTCGACACTAATTATGTGTGCAGATAACCGAGGCAAAGGTGAGCATCTATCAATGAATTGTTCTTATCAGCTTTTCAGGGTCTTGGTTCTCATCCTGTACTAGGTGTTTGACTGCCCAAGTTTAGATTTGTGATATGTATTGCTGGTAGTCTGTTTCAGGGTTCATTTTTATATTCTAACTTTGCTTTTTGAGATACCTATGTAGCTTGATGGTTATGATGGGGGGTTTTTAACGAGGCCCGTTTCTTATAAAAAAAAAACTTTATGCTTTGACCCTTTTAAAATTAGTTTCTTTGCTTCAATATATTGAGCCTTAATCTCTTATATTATTTTTTTTCTTTGCAGGGAGTCCACCCTTGCGATAAGAGAAGAAATATCAGTGACTATCAGTTTCTTTTTCCTGCAGTTGATTTCTCACTGGCAAGTGATTTGATGTCTCTAAGATGCCCCTGAAACGGGGTATTGTTTCAAGTTTTGATATCCAAACCAAATGTGGTTAGATGCTTGGTTATTTTCAAAGGTGTACGTTGAATGTCTTTTGAACTGCTGTTCAGATAGAAAGTGATGATGACACGTGGTGGAAGGCTGACATTAGGGAGACAAAAGAGGAGCTCGCAGCCAGGGGGTTGAAGTTCCTGAACTGGTGCATAGTGCATACCTTATTTTTTCTTTACTATACCCCTCCTTTATAGATTGTTGTTAATGAGTGTAAGAAGACCCTAATTAGATAGCATAATCAGAATCGACTGTATTTCGGAAGGCAAGGGTAACTTAAACCAATCAATATGACTGTTCTATTGTATCATGATTTCTTGCAACTGAAGTTTCTGATATTGCTTTTTCAAGTACTGTCGTTGGAAATCTTTCTGATTGATCCCAGCATCTGTTTTATTTGATTTACTCTTTTGTGAAATTTGTAACTTTTAACAAAGTTCTTTGAATTTCTTATATCTTTTCATGTCTTTTGAGGAGACAAGCGGAAAGGTACATTGATCATGTTAATGTTTCATTTGATGTTACATACAAATCATACAAATCATTGTCAGGTTTCTTTATATTCGCTTCACAGGTTGTGGACACGGAAAGAGAAGGAGATGGCTATTATTACCCATAGTGGGTTCTTGTTTCATACATTAAGTACATTTGGAAATGATTGTCACCCATTGGTGAAGAAAGAAATCTGCAAACAGTAAGTATGCTTAAGAGCTTTTCACTTTAGCTGGCCAATCCTGTGAATCTAAGGGTTTTTTTTCTTTTCCGCAACGACCACTACGTTGATAGTTTCTGTTCAACTCGATGCAGTTCTTCTGCATCTAATCTTTTTGGTTGCCATATAATGCAACTTTTCCTTTAATACACTTCACAATTGTTGCATAGGCTTGGAAAGATTAAGAAAGGTTTATACTTATGGCTGCATTGTTGTCGTACTTATTACCTGCTTCTTATGCCTCTCCTTTCATTGTACGGAAACTAGCTTTTGACCAAAAGAAACATCTTGGATCTAGTCACGTTTGATGCATGAATTCCCACATCATAAACCAGTTTTTATACTTCTATTTGCTTTACTAGTTTTGGTTTTACTCGAAAGTATTGCAAGGCAGTAAAAATTTCTTGATCTGAAGGTATCTTCTAACAAGAGTAGAGTGCTGTTCTAGCAGAAAAGAAGGTGCATAATAATTTTTAGTGAGTAAAAAGGAAAATTATAGCCAAGCATGGTTAACTTTTGTCTAAATTTACTGGAAAACGCATCCTTCAAATGATGATAAAAAAGAGCCTTAAATATGAATCCCAACGACTAGAATTAAGTGAAGGTGTTACGTTTCTGCAAAAGAAATAACTCTTCTCCCTTGTACTCGCAGCTTTGCAAATTGTGAGCTTCGTTCCATGGTCATTGTTGACAGAAGGTAAGCTGATGTAAAACGCAAACATTTTGCTATTTCAGCATGTATTAAACTCTTATGACTGCTCAATTTTGGCTTGTTCATGCTCTTATTGGTTCTTTTTTCTCCAGTATGATAGGATTTGAACATTCAACAACTAATTATCCTGGAAAGATTCCATCAGGATTGGATCTCCCAAGTGACGTTGTCGATGAGAAGGCTGAAGAAAGGACCTGATACATTTCTGTCTGAACATTATGTTTCATGCTTGTGATTTAGCAATGCCATTGTCAGAAACTCATAATTAGGTATGGCTTATGTTACTATATTATTTAAATATTCTCTTCCTGTGGTGATTTTGGCATGTGGACGAGGAAATTCAACATCCTACTTGAGATACAATGGATTGTAAGAAATTTGTTAAGAACCTGTTGTCAGAATTCCTATGGTTTGCAAAGACGGGAGGTTACAGGGCCCTCTAATCTCAACCATCTTTATGTTATACTCTAAAATTTTGATATGGACATTCTTATCAGTTCTACCTTTATCTTTTATCGGATAACTATTCGTTATCTAGTTTCATAATCATAGGAGAGTACAAGGATCATTAAAACCGAAGTCGATTACACTAGGTAGTTTTTGGGAAAGTAATAGAATCAGATAGAACATCCGTTTTATCAAAGTATGGCTCATCAGTATGATAACAGATAGCTTATTAAACCGTGTATTAAGGATCATTGCTTTAGGATAAATAATCATATACTAGATTCTTGAAGAACCAAGGGGCTTGCTGTAAAATGTAGTTCGTGCATCTTGGAGCTGTAAACAGCTTCTATTTGATATTTAAAATGTCATAGAAGGATGCAGGTTTCTTCCTGGATTTAGCACAAAGTTCCTGCAATCATAGATGATTGTTTTTTATGAGTGATGCGTCACTTCATACAGTCATACAGAGTTGAGGATATATTGCTTGAAAGAAATATAAAATTCGATTGTACCTCGATTGCAGAAGCCAAACGTAAAATTGTAGCTTCACCCCATGGACGGCCGATTAGTTGCAGGCCTACTGGAAGGCCTTGTTTGTCATAACCAACCTGAAACCGGCATGATGAGAATTCATAGCAGAATGTTGAAGCACCCCTAGTTGATTGTTTATATTGAATATTTACATGTTAGTGAGGAAAGAATTGCAAGATCACTTACAGGAACAGTAATAGCTGGAAGACCGAGTAGATTACCAGCAAGAATGAACCGCATGAGATAACCTGAAACAGAGTGAAGTGCATCAGAAAATGGTGAATCTAGAATATGCAAGAGAAACGTACAACTTAGTATATTGAAGTAGACAAACCTGTAACCTGCATATCTGTCTCTCCATCTTTCAAAGCACTAGGTGGTATTTTTGGTGCTGTCATGCTGTGGTGCAAAAAAAAAAAAAGCATAACCATCTAGTCAAAGAAACAGAGCTTGGATTCCTCCAGCATGGACAAAGAATTGTATCCGACAAATTTTCAGTTTCCCATCGTTTCTACTGACTCAGTAATATTTAAACTCTTGAAAGAAAATACTTGAATCAATTCATTAACAGAAGTTGTTCAAATGGTAATGTTAAACATACATACCCAGTTGTTGGGGTCACTATGACATCAGCCTTCTTGAAGATCTCCATGTGATGATGCATTAGCCTTCGTCTGAAAGGCCAAAACAAGTCGGGCCAAGCGGAAATTGGAACCAGATTTCAAATATCCCAAATATCTTTAATATATTTTTTTGCTAATAAAGCGAAAGCTATCCCCGGTTTAAATATCAGGAAAAAAATGTTTTTCTCTACCTTAAACGATGAAAATTGTTAGTTTACTAACAATTAATTCAAGTCAGGTATCAACGTCTAAAGCGATGACATGACATTGTCACATGCCCAAAAATAATAATGTGATATATATTATCTAAAGTGATGATGACACATATTATCTAAAGCGTCTTGAAGATCTCCATGTGATGATGCATTAGCCTTCGTCTGAAAGGCCAAAACAAGTCGGGCCAAGCGGAAATTGGAACCAGATTTCAAATATCCCAAATATCTTTAATATATTTTTTTGCTAATAAAGCGAAAGCTATCCCCGGTTTAAATATCAGGAAAAAATGTTTTCTCTACCTTAAACGATGAAAATTGTTAGTTTACTAACAATTAATTCAAGTCAGGTATCAACGTCTAAAGCGATGACATGACATTGTCACATGCCCAAAAATAATAATGTGATATATATTATCTAAAGTGATGATGTGACACATATTATCTAAAGCGGTGACGTGACACATATCAATCTATCAAAGTGATGAAGGACTACTATCATTACTTTCAACACGTGATGTGTTACGTCATCACTCTATCCTAAAATGTATTGGTTGTTAGTTAATTAACAATTTTCATTCAATCGGGGATCATTTTATCCTAAAATACTTAAAAAAATAATATGGGTCAAAGTGACTATTTTGTTAAACATTAGGGGTGAATTTCAACATTATGCCATACTTATATCACAAGATAAAGCAGCGGGCTTCAAATCATACCATTGCCATTTAGCCTTACCTAAGACATTGGGCAGCTACATAGTCTGATGCAGTGAATGACCGGAAAAGTGCCATACTAGTACGAGTATCATACGTTAATTTCACACCTTTCCTACATATTTCAGAAAGGAAATGAGATCATTATCTGTCAAACATCAAAAATACTTTCATAGAACACAAAGCTCAACTAAGTTGGTTCATGCAGCCATCCTTCCATTAAAGTTTGGAATTCGAATCCCAATATTTGCAACTCTTTTTCTTTATCCTCGTTTTAGCTAGTTAGATATGATAAAAGCAAAGAACCATACCCATCTTCACAATCCGCATTTAACGAGCACAGTGTTTCTGATCCAATGGCAACAATATGAGCAGTGCGCATCTCATTTAGTTCTGGTATTACTATCTCTATTGTCTTCAAACATAACAGTCATCAGTTTCTTATAACATAAATATGTTAATGTTAAAGTTGAAGAAACTGGGAATTGGCTGCAAGAATAACAACCGAGACCAACTTACTTCACATCCATGGTTTTTCGACAAAAGGTTTAGAACATCTTCACAAGCATCCGAGATATCAGTTGAATGTACATCATTAAACCACTGCAGAAGAAAACTGTATATTGAGAAATATTTCTTAAACAAAAATTAGAATATTAATTTAAAAACAAACTATGTGTTTTCAAGAGAACAAGGGGAACTACCTCACTATACTTCCCCAGTCGCAGTGATCCCAAAGTGGTGGCATTCTCAAGTGATGTCAAATCTGGAAAACAAGGGGGAGGCTACAAAAATACCGTGCAATAATGATTAAATAATGTAGATGCAAACAACATAAAGTGCAGTTCAGTCATTCGTTGCTCAAACTTGGATGAAATCGGGTACATGAATGTGTCCGACATGGATATATTCAATTTGTTTCTATTTTTTATGTTTTGAAGAGTTTTTTTTAGAGGGTTAAACCCTTATATATGTCTGGATATGCGGCAAAACGTGTACTTTAGGAAAGATGAAAAGTAGAAAAGTAAATGAGTGAAGCTACTTGAGCTTGAATATGATAACTAAAGCTTGACCGAGCTCGAAATGAAGCTTCGAGTTCAAATCGAGCCAGCTCAAGCCTGGCATTGGATTGACACAATTGCACCCTTACGTACAAGAGTGATTAGCTTAATTCAACAAGATACTTGAAAAGACGTATATGGTTCTGTAACATGAATTTAAGGAACAGCATTCAGCACAGGTAAGTATTTCAAAAGTTTGGACAAATATTAACAAGGTTCTCGAGGTTACCGGTCTCAAACAGATTCTGTCCGCTGGAGAAGAACCCAAAATTGCTGCATACCTGAAAAGCCTCTGTAGAGTTAGCAAAATTAAAAAAACACAACTTTACCAATATTTATTAACTATGTTACTCGGTAAAGTGTGATTTCGTGTATATGTTTGACTTGAAATGTTTAATTTTCTTTCAAACTTTTTCATGTATTTGAAGGGTCTTTGGAAGATCATACATCCGTGACTATGTCTATATATGTGTCAAAATAGGTGGTGAACATGAATTCTTCAAGAAAAATGAAGAATTAGAGTGGCATAGCTTTTCACCATCACCAGAAAGTTCAACCTCTCAGTTCACCAAAAATGCAAAATATGAATGGTCTTAACTGCTTAGAAATTACATCAAATTGTTACTACAGTTACTGTAATTCAAAAGTGCCAGAGTTTTACACTAGTATGACATCCTCCACTGTTGAGGCTATTGGTCCAATGATTTCCACAGTCCCAGAATCACATAATGACCTGTGGAGATGAAGTATTGAAAAAAAAGAAAAAAGAAAAAAATGGGCTCTTCAGAAAACATAAACCAGTTATCTGTTATGCAGCCTATAGAACAAGAGCTTACCCTTCCATGCTTGTCCGTCCGTAAGTCGTTTTCAAGCCCACAACACCGCAAAGAGATGAAGGAATACGGACAGAACCTGCCCTTTTTAACAGGTAAGCATCTACCACCAGTATATGTAAAAGAAATAAACAAGATTCCAATTAAGGTGATAAATTTTTACAACCTCCACCATCTGTTCCAAGGGCAGCAGAACATAGTCCAGAAGCTACGATTGCTGCTGGACCGGAGGAGGATCCACCTGTATATCTTTCCATTGCATGAGGATTTCTGGTTGTTCTGTACCTCAATATTTTATAAGTTAATTAAGATCAATTCCGTAAATTGGTATGGTTTGCCGTATCTAAATATGCATATTTTTATATCTGCTGGATGATAAATATACCCATAGATTGGATTATTTCCAGTTGTGCCCATGCCTAACTCATGCATGTTGGCCTTCCCAATAAGAATCACACCGCAGCTCCGCGCTCTCGAGACACAAACTGCATCCTTTTTAACGGAGCGAACCTCGTGCATCCATGACGTTGCACCTATCAGCAAAAACAAAAATTTCAATCTATCTTCTTTGCAACTACAAAGAAAATTTCCAGGAAGATTACTTAAAATAAGTGGTGAGCTTATTTACCCTTAGATGGATGAGGATAGCAGTCTATATCATCCTTGATTGCCATGAAAATCCCATCCAAGATTGACAATGGATTTCCTGCATGATTCACACCAACAGCTCTTTTTCAGTTGTTCTAATCTATAGAAGAACTTTATGCTAACCATAATATGTGATTTAAGAGTATTAAACAACATCATGAACAAATAACGTAATGGTATACCTTCCTCGAACCTTTTTGTCGAAGCTGCAGCTTGCTTCCTTATGTCCTCGGTATCGAATGAAATCAATAACGGTGTTGGGGGCTTATGATAGTTGCACTCTTCAATTACTGAGATGATCTTTTCTGCAACCTATAAACCAAAAGTGGAAATTTTCTTTGTAAATTTAGAGTGAAAGCAACTCTAGCGTTTAATGTCGACTTACCATGGAAGGTGTCACAATTTTATGTCGATAAGCATGAGCATAGTCACGAATCTTCCAATACTGGAACGATGGAAGCAAATCCGCGCT